TGCAATCTTAATATTGAATTTTAATATTGAATTATTGCTCAATGAAATTGAATTTTTCATTTTCTATGAGCAAAAATAAATAAAATAAGCCCAAGACATTGCTTTTCACGAGTTGTAAATGCTTCCTGGAATTCATTTAAAATTTTTTTCCAAAAGCCTTTTGCCACAAATCTGGCTCTCCTTTGAACTTTACAACCAACTTCCTTCATAACATATATCCGTCTAATTAAACATACATTTTTGACCCACAAGGCTAAGTGGGTGTCATAGGGAAAAAAATTATTCTATCAGTCAAAGACTAAATCAACTTAAATAGTTGTGATAAAAAGTAACAATAATAAGATGGAGTAAAACTAGTCATTCATCATCCAACAGATCATTTTATGGGATTAAGTTCTTATTCCCTTACACAAATGATTTTGAATTTAGAATTGTACTTTTTTTAGACTGGTTGCTAAACAAGGCTGAAGACCCCAACCAGTCCTGTTATTTAACCTATAGCCAGGGGAGAAAAGATTGATTCGTACTTTTCCCAAGAGTACTTGCATAGAAGTGAATGTAATGAATTTGAATTAAATTTGAACTCTAGGTCTATAAATACAAGATTCATAGGAGTCCAATTTTTTTTAAAAAAAGAGACATTTATCAACTGCACAGAAAAACTTTTCATACACTGCTCTCACTGATTTTCACAAACACAAAAATGCAACTCTTCCTAAATAAATAATTAAAAGGTCTAATTTATCTACCCAAAAATAAACCTTCATAAAATACTACCATCAGATCTCAAATACAAGTTTTCTTTCTTCCATGTTTTCTAGAATTCAACATTCATCTTTTCTTTCAACAAAATATTGTACAATATATTCCTTGTGATGTCTATTTTTAAATATAGAAGATAATGAGACAAAGTTGAAAAGCTATAAACGACACATTTCGCCAAGAGCATCTGCCAGGGCCAGTGTAAGGATCTCATGGGTCCATACCTGAATCTGTGATATGGGGACAACCACTCTACTACATCTCAATTTTCATAAGGTAGAATTCATATAAAATACAAATTTTATTGTAACCTAATTATATACGATAATATGCAATATTAGTGAACAATTTAACTAGAAAAATTGAAAATAAATACAATGTATTTAAATACAAATTAGATCATTCCATTTTAAATAAATTAACATATTGTCTGCATGAGTTATTATGTATATTTATTAATATATACTTAATAGCTCTGTTATTTTGCATTGAGTACTGTTTACTTACACCTAATATATATATATATATATATATATATATATATATATATATATATATATATATATATATATATATATATATATATTTTATATTATATTATAAATTTACTAATTTAAAAATATGGTTCCATCACTACACAGGAATTATCATGTTTCAAAAACAGAAACTAAAAACTTCAAATTTAATTATAGAATTAAACTAAAGTTACTAGTACTGTTTCATTTTCAAGTGAATTTGGGATAACTTATTTTGAAATTTACTGAGTTTTTATAAGCACATACATTATTAATATTAGTTTCTAAGGATACAAAGAAATTCAATCATTTTGACATGGGCCGGTAGGGTATTTATTTTCACTGACAACTATTGTATTTAATATTTGTACGTGAACCCTTGCATGTACATTTATTTATATTTATTTATTTTATTACATTCACTTACACACACACACACACACACACACATATATATATATATATATATATATATCCTTATTTTTGGCTAACATTTTTAGTCACTTGTGTCTTTGTAGTAATGTTGCTTCATAGTCTGTTTCTAATTGATTGATTGATTTATTTTTTATGGTTTATCAACCCTTTGTGGGTCATTTAAAACTGAAATATATTTCAAATTGTAGGAGGTCACTTACAGTATCCAGTGTTACCAAGTAGTCACCCATCTAAGTACTGACCAGGCTCGATACTGCTTAACTTTGGTGATTAAATGAGAAAAAATATGAATATCTTCATAATTGCCTTGGGCAAAGGAATTGGTATTGTTACCATATATTCTGTTATCAATTCTTTGTCCACTGGCCATGGCACTATATATATATATATACTATATTTAGAAAAAAATGCCAAACTTTTTGTGACACATTTCATCTGTTATGATTTCATCAGACTGGGCATTGATGATATTGCTCCATCTACACATGCACACAAAACGAGAGACACAGGTAGTTTCAAAATGTTTGAAAGCATATTTTTGAAAGAAGTTTTTTTTTTTCAATCTAGCTGAAATTATCTGTATTCTTTTTCTTTTACTTTATCTCTCCTCCACCTTTGTTTCTCCTGATTATCCCACACTGTGACAATATAAGATCTACCAAAAATGGTGACATATTGTAAGACCCTAGACATAAATCTATTGTAGCTGAACTAGCGATCAAGGCACTTTCCAGACATTTTCATCTCAGTAGATTACTTTCTCTTTTAATCAAAGCAGCATTCCCTATGTGAAAACTGTGGTCTGTTTTGTTATGGTGAACAACTAATGCATTTTAAAACTACCTGCATCTCTCGTATCATGCACTTGTGTAGACGTAGCAATGTCATCAAAGCTCAGTTTCATGAAATCCTAATGGATGAAACGCATCACAAAAAACCTTTCCAGCTTGTCATATTTTTCTAAATACTGTTTGTTGATATATAAGATTATACAAAATTATATATATATATATATATATATATTTTAAGTGTTTCACCCCAAGCAAGGCGGAAAGCCACTAGGACACAAGGGGTTACAGAAAATTTGGAGCAAGGTCAGATAGGAGTGATAGAAGAAAGGATGAGGAGAAGAGTAGTGGATAGATCAACGCAATTGGAGATACAGAGGCCAGTGAGAGAGAGAGAGAGTACCAGAAACCCCTTCCTAAACAAGAAACAAGGCGTAAGCCTCTACTCATGTCCAAGAGAAGGGGGAGGAGTGTGGACCGGGCAGTAGGAAAGCCTATGATATAATGATATACTGTTCACAAGACTGAGAAGAGTGTGGACCAGTTGATAGGCAAACCTATCTACTCCTATATATTTTTTAATTAATTTTTCTGGCTTCTGATTAACAGGACACAAATCTTTCATCATTCCACTTTAATGTGCCTGATTAACATGATCCAGATCTTTTAGGATCCCACTTGAATGCACCTGATTGACATGATCCAAATCTTTCATCAACCTAGGTTTATCTGGCTCATTATCATGATCAGGATCTTTCAACATCATACTTTCATGTTCCTGATTAACACAATCCAGAATTTTGCTTTCATGCGGCCAATTAACATGACCCGGAACCTTCAACATCATACTTTCATGTGGTCGATTAACACAATCCAGATCTTTCAGCATCCCAATTTCATCAAATACCAACATAACACATTCTATAGAATGTTATAAGAAGACATAACAAAGAATAACGATATGAAAATGTCTTTTAGATTTATTAAATTTTTTTTAAGATTTTTTAAAAAAACATTAAAAATATGAAACTGAAATTGAATTAAATGTGAATGTCATCAAACTCTCCTGAGAATATTGAAAAGATTAGGGAATTCATTTTATCCTCTCTAATCAAGTGATAAATGAATAAATAAAAAAAATCCTTTTATGCAAAACTCTTTAATTTTTCCAGTCCATGCCATAACCATGAGGATAAACATAACACAGAGTTAACCTTTATTCTTTATTTTTTACTGTAACTTTTATTAAAAAGAGAAAAAAAAAAGGTCATTTTTTTGCTTTGTCTCATATTTCCAAAATGTTTTTTTGACAACCTACCGAAAAATGTTTTAAAAAATTCTGTTAATTATAATGATGCTAGATAAAATTACCTCCACCCCCGTTTCTTTTTATCATTTTGTTTCTTTTTCACAAGGAACATTTATAGTTCAAAGAGTAAAGCAAATGTTAAAGCCAATGAACTAAGGGGTGGGAGATGAATTAAAGTCTTGATAGTTTATTTCTTATTTCCAATATGTGTAGAATGACATTTTAGTTGTAATAAAAAACAACTGGAATTAAGATGTCAGAAATAGTAGTAAAAAAATTGATAATGTTTAAGTCTAATAATAATAATAATAAATTCAAATATTTCACATTTTTACCTACAATAAACAATGCCAACTGCTTTTTATCCCAAAATTTACACCCACCTTTTTACAACTTATTGTACAATTACCTTCTTACATCAAATTACTTCAAAAGCTTCTCTTTGTTCCCAACAATCTCATTTGAATTATTTTTATCTCACAATGACCTCATGAATAGCCAAAATACTCATAAAAAATTAATAATAATTAAAAATATTAACTGTTTAAAATTTATGACTATAAAATACTTTAAAATTTATGACTATAAAATACTTTAAAATTTATGACTATAAAATACTTTAAAAATCTCGTAGAAATTTTAATTTACATATAAATAGTTCGATTCATGGAATTAATGTTCTACTTTTTTATTTTACTATTAGAAACTTCATTACCAGAAGGTAAAACTTAATTCTTAAGTAGATCAGTTCTTTTAAATATTAAAAGCAATATACTCTTATTTAAAATAATATATATTTTTTTTTTCTATACAAGTATGTCTGAAAATTCCAATTTTTAAAATTTTTCTCATCATTTGGTCAAAAGGCCTAATAATATACAATTACTATTATTAGTCTTAGTATAAATATTATTATTTTGTTGTTTTTTCATCTCACAGATTTCATCCACTGGCCTATTATATCTATATATTATAAGAAGCATACATGGACAATCTTTCATTGCTATCATAATACACACACATACATACATACATATAAATATATATATATATATATATATATATATGGACATTGAAGTCAACAGCCAGAGGTGACAGTCTGTTTCATGCTAAATACAATTGTCATGACTGATGATTGTGCTTATCATGAAGCAGACTGTTGCCCCTGGGTGTTGACTTAAATGCCCTCTTTTAGATAGATAGATAGATAGATAGATGTGTGTGTGTATTTTCATTCTAGGATATTACACCGAAAACATGTTAAAATCGCTACACAATTGCAGCCATGTTTCAATGCATATCAATTCATCTCATCAGGCTATTGTAAATTACCTGTGAGGGAACAATTTACTTAGATTTAAAAGCAAAATACAACCACTTTTTATGAAAAAAAAAAAAGGTGGGGTTATAAGGTTTCTGGGCTTTACTCTTATCAACCAATCAAATAAGATCTATGTTAAATTTAAACTAAACAAAGAAGCATAAATTAAAATATTATTTTTTAAAAATGGGTCATGACCCATAAACTAGCAGTCAATGGCAGCACAGACATTAAACAGGAATGGATGTTAATGGATACATATTTTACACTCTAGACAATATCATTTCCTGAGAAAAAAATGAGATGGATTAGTAGTTTAACAAAATATTAAACAAATTATATGCTTTGTGAATTTCATGCATAATTTTTTTTATAGTTGATAAATAAATGGCTTCTTTAAGAAACCAGTAAATAATTTAAACATATAGAATTACTTGGTAAATTAACATGCAACTGTTGACTAAAGATTCTTTACGTAAAATGTTAATAACAAAAACCAATCAATGCAAAATGTCAAAAATACCTAACAAATACAAATACATCCATACAAGATGGTACTAATACTACCAGAAGATTAATACAAACTTATATTAAATTCAAATTAATCTTACAAATAGAAAGATAATTCATATATAGTGCAACACAGTTCAACTAAAATCTAAGAAAAAGCATTCTCAAATTCCAAGTCTAACTGAATTGTAAGGTAAAGGTAGACTGTGTTTACAATTTACTGTTAACTCGGACTTTTGATTTAATAAAGCATTCTTATCAAAGAACCTGATAATTTCCAATTTTTCATGTAAACACAGAAAACAGGGTTTATATAAGGATCTACAGGTACTTGCCATTTTTAAAATTTTACATTTAACCTTAGGAGTTTTATTATCATCTTTCAAACTCAAAAAATATTTAGAAAGTTATGTATTATTTCTATAATTGTAAAGGACAATATATACTGATACCACATAGGCTTGAAAGAATTCTTAGTACTACCAATATAGAACTTTTCTATTGTCGAATTCTCTATTGTAGTTTAAATTTAATGTGGGTCATATTTGATTGGTTGATCAGAGTAAAACCCACAAACCTTATAACCCTCACTTTATTTTTTTCATAAAATGAGGTTGTATTTTGCTTTTAAATCTTAATAAATTATTCACTTGGCAGTAATTTACAATCACCTGATGAGATGCATTGATACACATCGAAACATAACTGCAATTGTGTCGAGATTTTGACATGTTTTTGGTGTAATATTTAGGATATTACACCAAAAACATAAAATATAATAATAAATATAATAATAAATAATATTGCTCTACTTTGTATTGAGCCCTCTTTTAAATTGAATGATATGAATGTTGGAATTGTACTCTATTCATTCTCATCTTACCTGGACATGTATATATATATATATATATATATATATATATATATATATATATATATATATATATATAATGATGTATAATTTTGTATAATTATCAACAGTATTTAGAAAAAATAGTATGACAAATCAGAAAAAAGTTTTTGCAATGCATTTCATCTGTTAGGGTTTCATCAGGCTGAAATCCTAACGGATGAAACACGTCAAAAAAATCTTTTTTCTAATTTGATAGATGATATATATATTTATATATATATATATATATATATATATATATATATATATATATATATATATATATATAGAGAGAGAGAGAGAGAGAGAGAGAGAGAGAGAGAGAAAATTGTTTAAAGTTATATATATTTGAATACTAAAAATATACACTTTATTTTAATTTATGCAACATGTAGAAAATATGAAAAGATAAAAGCTGTTATTACTGGTTCAGTTAGATTTTTATTTCTTTTCATAAAGAAAGCCAGCAAGATTTCTCACACTTCTTTTGTCATCTTCTTACAAATCTTCCCTATGACAACTTAGTGCTAACATTAACTTTAAATTTTCATGCATCATTCAAAAATTAGATCATTTTCTGAAATTAATTCTAAAACACTGAAGTTTTTAGATAAGATCTCTATTGTTGAAAGCAGTTGTGAAGATGGTTTAATAAAGGAATGGAACAGTTTTTCTTATAAGGAAATTTGAATTTAAACATGAAACATCAATGATAAGCAAGCAACAGGAATTTATTTAATATATAATTCTAACTATTAATTATTTGCAATACCAAGCTTTTCAATAATTAGGTACCCCTTACAGAAGAAATTTAAACTTATAATAACTTATACTTATATAATAGACAAATATATTCAGTATCCATAAAGGCATTAATTTCTCAGGAATTGCCAAAACCATCATTTTTCATCATAAGATAAAGGTAAGTTTATGTGACCGTGATTTTGTTAATGTTTTTGTTATTAAATGCCTCTAATTTTTTCTGTTTCTGTTATAAGCTTAAACACCTGCCATAGAGCGATGATTCAGATGTCGATCTCCTGAGATAATGAAAGTTCATTTCTAAGAGGGATCTTGTAGAGCCTTGTGATAAAGTTTAATTAGCACTCCTATGATTACTATTAACACTTGTTACTTTATTTACATGTGTGTGTGTGTGTGTGTGTGTGTGTGTGTGTGTGTGTGTGTGTGTGTGTGTTTATTTTGGCAACTATGAAAACATCATTATGTCTAAGATTTATTACTGATACAGTAATTGTGGCACAAGGCTGAAAAAAGTGAGGAGACTGGTCAAGTTTATGTCAAAAAAAAAGCTGATTTTTCTTTTTTGGCAGGGATATGAGAAAAGTCAAAAAATTGACCAAATAATTAAATTTTAAAATTTGTCTCATAAGCTAAGATTTATTTTCAAAGCTTTGTATGATTTGCTAGTTTTTCTTCCTCTTTTGATGTCTTCGGTGCCTTTTTTCGACGTGGCTTGTAGCGTAAATCCCAGGGCCTTTTCTCTGTCATCCGGCAATAATTTGTGCCACTTTCATAAAAAGCCAAAGTGACAACTGCGGAACCAAAAAATAGATAAAGTCAAAGACTTGAAAAGTCATTTAATAAAGAAAAGATTATTAAACATCATTAATCAATATTTACATTAAAAATGTTATTAATAAAACGTTTTTCTTTCCAAAGTCATCTGTATTGCTGTCTGGAATGTTTGTATGTATAAACATTATGTTTTATAGCTAAGATTAGAGTGTAGTTCCTGTACCTGGTCTTCAATTGCTTCTAAGTTGGAAGCACTTATACTTTCTAACAAAGAAACAAAAACAAACTATATATCTATGTGAGTGTGTGTGTGTATATATGAATAAGGTATATTTAGGCAGCAAGTGTTCTGTAGAAATATTATTATTATTATAAATAAATAAAAATAAAATATAAAAATAATAATAATAATGAAAATTATAAATAAAACAATAACATAAAATTGCTGTATAAAATAAATTAAATAAAAATTTTAAATAATAAAAATACTCCTAGCATGCAAAAGAAAATGTTCCTGCTGGAAATATGTACATCCGACCAAAAGACGTTAAATTCAATCCCTTCACCACAAACCTTGGTACAGGCAACATGTGTCTAATTTCTCTCTGTGATGTAGCTTGTAAAACTACAGAGTAAATTCTCCCTTTTATCACATGTACCATAAGATAATTGTAACCTAAAAATACATACACTAATACACACAAAAATATAAATAAATTGTATGAAATTAACATACAATTTACCATGCTTTTCCTGTTATCTCTGCGTGTTTTATTTTGTGCCAAGTATGCTTTTATCTCCATGAATACAAAGCTAATTTCTGCTGCTATGCTGTCATTGTTTACGTTAGGATACATTTCATGAACAGATATGATCAGCTGAGAAAAATTGTTGAAGTTTCTGTATTTAAAAAAGTAATTTGGATTTTGCTAACCAGATGCTTCTCTGTAGCTAAATAGTATAGCACGTCAGATCAAATGACGGTTTCTGTATAGGAATACAGGTTCGTTTCCTGTCAAAGAATGCATTTTTTCTATGAAATTTCTCGAACATTCAGGCCAGTAAATATAATTAATACTGTTTAATTAAAAAGCACAGCATTTACTTAAATAAATTATATCTATAAAAATAACATATTAACAGAAAATATATATATATATATATATATATATATATATATATATATATATATGAGTGTGTGTGTGTTGATGTAATAGGAAAGAAAATTTAGATTGATGATCCAAAGTTCTTTAATATTTTTGTTTTTATTTTTAAAAAGCAATGCTCAATACAGTAGTAGAACTTAAAATTACAATTATTTCTTTTAAAAATATGATTCCATCGCAACACAGAAATTACAATGTTTCGAAACTGAAAGTTTAATTTCAATATTAAACCCTATCCAGAGGAGAGTTTCATTCTCAAGCAATGTTTGTTTATTTTTATAGATATAATTTATTTAAGTAAATGCTCTGTTTTTAATTAAACAGTATTTCTTCATATTTATATATATATATATATATATATATATATATATATATATATATATATATATATATATATAATTTTTAATTTTGCACATCCAAGCTTACAGCATATAGTATTCCTAAGGGGTCACCAATCTAGGTACTGACCAGACTTGATGTTACTTAATTTTGGTGATCATATTATATTTTGTGTTTCAAATGATGGTTTGACCAAAAGCCTAGCATGATATTAAATTTATCAATGCTTTTTAGGAAATTTAATTATCTCAGTTTTTGGGGTTTTTTTTTTTTCACTGAAGAATTTCTTTATGCTTTTGTCGTATCATTGAGGTGAATGATACACAAAGAAGAATAAGTGCTTAATATATTTATTCAGCACCAATATTCAATGCTAACAGATGCATACAAAAAGCACAGAACAATAAGTTACAAAACAATTAACAAGACAACTTACAAGGAATAGAAGAGGGTCAAATGCTGTATAGCC